CGCTTGAGGCTTCGCTTGTGCTCAAAACCTTTGGCTCGGTAGGCAGTTAGATAGCAAGGAGAGAAGAAGAAGGTTTATTTGGAGACGTCAAAGACGAAGTGAGCACTTTATTAGTCTTAGGAAGCCCCTAGTAGCTGCACACCAGCCATTAGTGTTAGTATAGTTTAAGCCAGTCATAACGGTTTAAACAGGACCTCCTAAATATTATTATAATATCTTAGAGATATTAGTTCAAGGTTACATACTGCTTCAACAACAACACGTAAATAGATCTTGCGAAGCATAAATATTTCAAGTATATCTAAAAAAAAAAAGGCTTTTTTACACTACCGAATTAGCGACTTTTTACGATGTTACACTTCGCAGTAATATTCGGTATTTCGTACTGAAGCACTAGTACTTAATTAGAACTCAGCCAGTTTTTACCTTCAAAAAAAATGTAAAAAAATTTGAGTTTTTTTAACCTGAGGAGGTGGCCATATAATTGTGACACGGAGTGTGCAATTCGAGAACAATGTAAGTCCAAAATTGGAGAACCACTGCTCAGAGTTGATATGTATTGTTTGACTCTAAAAACAGTAAAACATCGAGTTCGGACGCGAGTCAACGCAGTTTTTGCTTGACTAGGCCGTAGACCATCACTGTATATTTTATATTTACACTCAAAAGCGCCAGGTGTCTTCTCGGTGGGAAAGAGGTCCTGTACTTGTGTTAGAATTCCTAACTACGCCTGGTGTCTTCTCATTGAGGAGTTCTCATCGATGTCGTTTCGCTAATTTACTGGCACATTTTGATGAGTCCCCCTTTGCTCTAGTCGGTTTGACATGTGAAAATCACCTCATGTTCTCTAATTTTAGTCACGAATCTATAAACTAGGCTAACCGGGCAAATAGAGTATTTTACATTTCTCTTCTCTCACATCATGCTCTCTAGCTCGAATATGCATTATTTTTAAATAATAAGGGATAGTGTAGTCTTCTAAATACAAAACGATGCCCAATGTGCTGTGTTCGTAGTTCCTGTATTAAACATGTGCTTCTTTAAATCTAGTATTAATACATGTACCCATTATTTATATCGCCTACCTGACCTATACTGTTATCCTGACTGTGTGAAAGTCTCTGCATTCTATCCTGGATACATGTAGGCTGTGCCTAGGCAGGTCATGATTTTTTTGAAATTCAAAGGAAAGAACTTCAATAAACTGCTCTTCCACGCCCACCGCCCCACTATGAACCAATTCGCAGGTGCACCATATGCGGTGTTTACGTCCACAATACCATATCTAGCGTAATGTAAACTGTGTTTCCAATCCTGTGGGAACGAACTTCTTGCATCGTTGGAGACGACGCGAAATGGGGAACGTTTTTAATGCTTAATGCCGCGGACGAGCAAGCTCCCTTCGCTCCTCGGGAGCTACGCCTACAGCATGTAGATTGATAATTACCCTCTCAGTATCCACCTCCCTCCGCGCTGACATCGCTCTCGTCCACTTTTCATCTTGGGACGTCCATTAACAACCTGTTTCTTGCCCTTTACGCTTCCTTTTGACTATCTGGGCATCCATCGCATCGCTTCAGCTGAACCATGCAGGGTCTTAGCTGGTCGGCTCTTCTTGTCGTGTCTGAGTGTCTTGGAACCCCATAAGATGACCGTCCAGCATCGCGATAAAGCGCTCGTACTCTTCGAGCTTTTGCTTGAAGCCAGTCATCTGTTCTCGGAGCTCGTGCATCTCCTGCCGTACGGCCTTGTATTTCTCCTGCAGCTCTACCAGTCGGGGCTGCTCGATGTCTGTCGCGTTCGGCTCGCTCTTCATTGCAGCGGTCGTGTCCAATTGCTGCTGCTCCCTCACGAGCTTCGCGGCGAATAGCTGCTTGTACTCGAGCTCAAGTGCCTGAGCGGTTGTCTGTAGCTCTAAGAGATTCCTCTGCGGTGGTCAAAGCCAATGCATTTACGTTAGATTCGGTTAAGCCCCAGCGCATTATGCACCCATACCTTCTTCCGTTCGCGGGACTTCCGCTTGAGGTCGCGCTGCTTGCGTCGCCGCTCCACTTCTGCAGCGTCCAGCTCCGTCGGTGAGCCTGCTTCGCTTTTGGGCTGCTGGCTTGCCATGCTCGTTGCTCGCCGAAGAAAGTATTGGAATGACCGACGTTATGCCACCCTAACCAGGTGCAAGCGTCAGCATGCCCAGATGCAACCGAGTCGAGGAAGAAAAGGACGCGTTGCTCCGATGCTCGCGAGTCGTTTCTCATGTGCTCGCGGCGGTGACTTGCGACGCAAAGCTGAGCTTAGTTTACTGCCAGCCACAGCGCTCTGCACCGATGTTGGCGCTGGAGCTGGATTCTCTCCGCTAGCATCGAACGAGAATGAAAAAAATACAAGCAATGCATCGAGGATGTGTTATACCTCTTTAATTAGATGCATTGTATCTCGGAATGATAGTTTACATATAAGCACTGTTCTGAAACCCTGCAATACCGAATAATGAAGCGGCGTGTTGAGCTCCATCGCACAAATCGTATCGGCACATCGGCGGAACGCCGGCGGACAAGGGCCGCCGAGAAAGCCGCGTTTCTTTCCAGCAACCCAACCCAAGCGCCCAGCTGTTGCTCATGAACTCCAGCTTGAATGGAGCATCAGCATGGGTGCGCAAGCCCAACTTTCGTGTTTGACTTGTATGTTGTACTGAATCCCATCAGAAAATAATGTTCAACAGCGCCATGTGAATAGCCACGTGATCGGCGATATATTACAAGTTCACGCACACTTGGTCCGGCTTGCCCGTGGCGAGCTCGAAGTTACGGTTAGTCGAAGCTGTCCACTTTGCATCGCTTGATGTGCATGAACCTATTGGCCCAAGAGCCGCTTTGCAATTGTTGTGGGGAAGCGTGAGCGCGCATGAATGTGGTTGCGCTTTGGTAGTACTGAACCCGGCACGAGGCCGCTTGGTGGACGAAAGACTCGGTACACACACCCTTCCCGGTTGCTCACGCATCAACTGCCGCCTCTCGTACAAACAGGACACAAGTAACTTGACTTCAGCAGGATGTTGACTCAATGACCAGGGTGTATGACACTGGGCGCGCGAAAAACAATCGTGTTGTTGCAGAATCCGCTGCCCTCGATCCCCAATCTTAACTCGAAATACTTCCAATACGAATACGAAAAGGCCCCAACCAAATCTGGACTTTCAGTAGACATGCCAAGCTTGTTTCCCACGATTGTCCAAACTACGCGAAAAGACGGAATACTCCACGCAGCGTATTGCATCAACAAGCAAGGCACATGCACGTCTCGTGGAGAAATCAACATGTGTGCGTTGTCTGTAGCGCGAGTACACACACGTATACGAAAGATTGCTGTTTCATTTGAATTTAAAGACTGTCGCTGCCATTTCTGCTCATCGTTTCTTCATTCATACCACTTATCGTCTCGAGCTGAACTTGTCTTTGCGAAAACTTCAACGGGCCACAAGCTCAGTAATGTTCGCACTGACGTGTATCAATGTCGATTTCGTTATAGCCACTTATCATATTCCTTTACTGGTTAACTTTTCCATTAGGTAGTTCTCTTACGATTGCTTTAACTTGGTCGGTTGTTGTTGTACTAACATTAAGTAGCCATTCCAAGCTTTCCGCCGGTGCATAACTCAAACTCCAGTTGAAGACCCTGCTGTTCATATTGTAATGTCATGACGAGCATGATTGCAACGACTCGCCCATGTGTCGGAGGTAATCTATGTGTAGGGATTCCCTACTAGAGAATACTCACTCCTCCCGTTCATACGTAGTTAGCAACCAGAGAAATCTGTTGCAGAGACCGCAAATATTTAATCTCGGTTTACCCCGTCCATCCGATCCAGTTTTGCACCGCGCTCATGGTGTCCATGCCCAACCCGGCATCCTTTTCGATTAACCGAAGTCCAGTTCGCTCCGTTTGGATACCATTCCTACTTATGGACCCATTGACATGAACAATGATGTATTCACCCAATATGAGCTTGTTTTTCTTCAATATAGCTCTTTACTAAATACTCAAGTATGATCCCGCCGCAACACGTTACAACCAGACTTTTTTTGGTAGGAAGGCGAAATACAATAGCTTGTTTTGCTACCGGAAGTTCTAATAAACCTAAATGGCATTTGCATAAATTTTTGGCAATTCCCCCATTCGAACCACGCTCCTACTACTAAAGAATCTTTAGTAAAGATAAATATTCGCGGAAATCATCATATCATACGACGTAATGAGATTTTATCACCAAGTTAAAAACGCTGCCCCAGTCTATAAGATGTCCAAACCGCGCAAGTATGAAAAAACCACGTATGCCACATAGAGCATCAACAGGATCGCACAAGCCAGTGGGTAGAGCCTCCAACGTGAGGAAACTAGTACCACCACAACGAAGAGCAGCACGGCGAAAAGGATCGCAATCGAGACATCAAGATCATCACCCGACACTGGCACGGTTTCACTGTAAACCAGATTCGACACGAAAAAGGGGAGTCCTAGTCCAAACAGAATGTCGAAGACGTTGCTGCCAAGAGCACTGGAGACAGCCATGTCACCGTGGCCGTCGCGTGCTACAAGGATGGAGCTCAAAGCATCTGGAATCGACGTGCCCGCAGCAATGATCGTGAGTCCCATTAGTGTGGATGGAATACCAGCGATACATCCGAACTTCGTCCCGTAGGCGACAGTGTAGTGCGAGAGCACGCCAATCCAGATGATGGAGATCACGAAGGTTGCTGAGTAGCCCATAGGCCCTGAGAAGACCGGGTAACGGCAGTCTGGAATCGTGATGCGTGCCAAGGCTACGATGGGCCACGTGAACACAAACCACATTTTAGCCAAAACGCCTTCTGGTGGAACCAGCACATCGTCGAAGTACTTTGGCAGTGGCTCTTCGCCATCTTCTGCGTCTGGCACGTGACTCGAATGATCCTGAGCTTTTTCTTTCACAGTAACCTTTTCAGCGGACTTGGGTGCCTCGATGTCCAGGAGCTCGCCACTTGAGTTCATGCGATGAAGTAACTGCTGCGACTGGAACATCCGATACTTAGAACGAAGTATCGGATTCAGTTTGTCCTGCTCGCCGAGGAATCCGCGCTGGTGTTCCTCTCCGTCAACCGACTTTTGCACGTCGACGGTGGCTACAACGTCTGCAGTCGAGGTGGCATCCGACTTCGTACTGATTGTAAGCTTACCCACCTGGACTTCATCGGTTTCTGGCCGCTTGCAGCAACAATTAACCACTCGCTCGTTGAACGCCATGTAACTGATATAGCCCCCGTACGAGCAGACCATGATCACCGAGTCCAGAACGTCGACGCTGCCGTCCGATACGGCGAAAGCTAGTACGACGATAGACCACGTGTACCAGAGCGAGTCACGCAGTAGCGGACGCCAGTCGAGTTTGAGGACTTGGCCCGCCAGCAGTCCTGACAGCGATATGATGATGAGGATATTGAAAATGGCCGAGCCCACGATAGTGCCAACGCCCAAGCTCTCGGCGGGCTTCTTGAACACGTTGTCAGCCATAGACACGAATAGCTCGGGGGCTGACGAGCCTGCAGCCATGAAAGTGGCTCCAGCAACGTCGGGTGACAGTGCCAGCGATTCGGAGATTTTTTCCAGTGCCGATACGAAGTAATCGTCGCAGATGATGGCGAGCGACACAAAGATGTAGCCCAGGGCCATGATATACACCACTATGCCGCCGCTTGTTTCCCAGCTTGCTAGCTCGCCGCACGAATCCGAGTCGGACGAAGAAGAGGCTTCAGCTAAAACGCGAGCGGTCTGCGAAGGCTCAGACAACACGCGATGAATCATGGTCACCAGGCCCGCTGCGCAGCCAACGACCACCACCGCCACGCCAATGGATTGCCGCGCCAACCTCCGCATGTGTCGATAGCGCTGATGCGGTGGCTGTGGCTGGATCGTTGTCATTAGAAGGCCTTTGCAGGCGACTGGAGCTTATTTTGGAGTGAGACGGACGGCACTTCTCTTGGAGGTACAAATCAGTTTGATAGCATTGGATTTTATGGCAAGTAAAACCACTGAAGTATGTAAATTTATGAAGTACTCGAGCGGGGGTGTTGCCAATGGCAAGTATGCACGTTTTCGACTAAAATACTACAACTGATGCCCCACACCTCATCAAAGCAGCTTCTGCTGTTGAAGAGGTTTCAACTTCCGTTGGAGAGTTTTCTTTAACCGCTCGAGATTTTGCTTTACACACGTGTACGAATTTAGCAACGCGGTGGCACTGGCGATCCGAAGCGTCGCATTCATTCCAAAAACACCTTCCGAGTAACATCGCGTTCCTCATCCCATTCCCGGACTGAACGCACAGAAACTCAGTAGGGGGATTTGCGCTTTAGGTAAAGCCGTATCCTCATTTTTCCTCTCGAAGGATGCAACGCGTCTGGCCGTCCTTGGTACTTTTTGCTCTCTACGTGATCGTAGCCAGTGTGGCTGCCACGAACTCCGGAGTGATCACCGACGCTATCCAGACTAGCATTCTCAACATGGATCCGGGCGACGTCGTGAACGGACAATTCGATGCAGTACCACCAATCACGAGCACATCGAGTGCTAGCGAAGCCGTGGACTGGCTGACAACCACGGACGAGATCTTTTCTCGCGTGGCAACCGGCGGTTTGACGTCGCTGCCCCCGAACGGGCTATCCGCCATCGAGACCATGGAAACCGAGATCGCATCCTCCCCGAGCTTACTCAACAACGCCGATGTGCTGAAGAAACTGCTGCATGTTCTTCCATCGCTCTGGGATATTGGTTTCTGGTACAGACCAGTGAGCGAGTGGAAGACCGAGTTTGGCAACATCTACGACAAGGCTGTTAGCGCAGCCAAGATTGCACATGACGCTACTTGCTACGACGCAGCAGTGAACGCCACCTCGCTAATGATCCGCTTCACCAAGGACCAGGTCTTCTGGGACGGCGAAGACCATGGCGATAGCGTGGAGCTGCAGGGGCAAAACAAAGACTACTTGGCCTACCTGCCCGAGTTGGTAACGATTTTGTCGAAGAAGGAAGACTTCACCCTCACAGAAGCTCAGCTTCGCACATTCATGGCGACAAAGATGCCGTCTAAAACAGAGGGCATGAATACGGCGGTGGCGTTCCCAGTTTACGTGGACACCAGCATCTACAAAGCCTCCGACGCATCCGCGCTCGCCGAACTCGTCTGTTGAGCGAGCGCGTAGTTTCATTTGCCCCTTCCATCGAAGCTTTGAGTTATGATAGCAGCACTCTCAGGCTGAAACTTAACGCAGTCGCATTTTCGACAAACGAGAGTTGCTATGATTGTTTTGCATGTACATGTACTCAGTTTTCGTACAGATACAGGAAGTCAGAGGCAGAAAACTTCAAGCTGGACATGACTTCAAGGTAATCAAACAGACGATTCGTCGTGTGCTGATGATGGCTAAGTGTATGCAGAGCTGCGAGCTTTGGAAGCTACGTCCAGCAGGCATACGAAGGTGTTGACGGGCGCAGCAACTTGCACTTCAAAATGGAAATAAATATGTGGCATTAAAATTCGCTGCTAGGTAGTCCCTACATGCACGCTAGTTGCTGTCTAAATATGATATAGTAGCCTTGCGCGCTGGCAAGCAGCAGTCACAAAACAGCCTTCGGTAGCAGCTCACGCCCAAATAATTAGCGTCCGCTCACCAGGGCCGTCTCCACTCACTTCTTCACCTGCGGCAATTGTTCGTTTGTTCATTTTCCTGCCGCGCAGTATTCGTAACTTCAATCGTTCAAAAAATGCCGTGCCATCACCTATACGATCTCATGGTCGCGGGGCGTCACATCCTCCTTTTCCTCCTCCTCTTCCTCGGCGGTGACCACCGATCGTCGGCCTGCTCGAAGTGCTTCTCGTTGCTCATTCTTCGGCGTGGGAGGTACCAGTGCGTAGGCAGCCTCCTCGTCCGAATCGTTGGAAAGATTTGATGCGTTCGACGATGCTACCACCACGGATGAGCTGCTAGACTCGTCCACACGATCGTTGATCTCCACTACTCGGATGTCGAAAGGGATGTTGGGCGTCGAGTTGGTTCGGTTGGCTGGAGCGCTGCTGGTGGTCGATGGTGCTGCCGGCTGGGTCTGTTGACGCCGGTAATGCGCTGCCTGAATTTGCGCCAACTTGTGATGCAGACGGTCATCATCTCCACCGCCGCGCTTGACGTCCTCACGCCACGAGGCCAAGCGCAGTGACAGCCTCGAGCGCCGCGCCTGGTACATGCGGTAGGCGCCGTTGATACCCACGCTTTCGCGCTGTGGGGGCTCCTCCAGCTCTCGCAGCGTTCGCAGGTCCGCCTCGTCGTAGTGCACACGCCGTGCGCAGACGTCACTGCAATCCTTACAGCAGAAGGTGTCACGCAACCGGTCGCGGTACGCCGCGTTCTTCCAGAGCATCAGCAGGAAGGGCGAGAGCCCGATCACGAGCAATAGCGCGAAAATTAGGTACTGCAACATGTTGCGTGTGGTGTCATCATCGCTGTCGGCCATGGCGAGGTGTAAAGGTGATGTAGTAGTTGCTTGGGTCTTGTTGAATTCGGAAATGGAAACGTAGGCTGGCTTCACCTCCTGCAAATGCAAACGCAGGTGGTCCCACGCAGATGCAGGAGAAACGCGTGCGGTACCAATCAGTGACGAGAAAAAGAATTTTGTCCATCTCTATGCAGCCGCCCATTTCGCCTAAAATGGGCACCTCGCATCGAAAGAAATATTTATTTAGAATACTGTATCGAAACCGGCACAATAGTAAATATGTTGGGGCGGTCCTATTGATGTTCTAGCCATCATGACAGGGGAGGCGGCATCACCGGCCGGACTCTTACCGCCCCAAGCGTCATGGCTGAAGCAAACAGAGATGGCGCTCATCAAACGATTGAGAGTATACCAGGCAGCTAATAAACAGCATTGAAATAGGCTTCTCAACTTTGTAGGCGGTAATACAGTGTTCGCCTGCATGCTATTTAGCCAACTAGCTCCTGTCAAGGCAAATTGAAGCCCAAATTGACTATTGGCAGCGAGAGAGACTTTTCGGATACATATACCTACCAAAAATAAATGTAAATAGTTTATATTTAATAAAACGATAAAGAACATACTGGCAACGTTAGCTTACAGTGCTGCATTGCCAGTGCAGTGTCCACATTTCGGCAAGACTCTTACGTGATACCGCTGGCAATAGCTTTGGTAAACAGCGCTTTAGGCTACTGTAATTGAGGGAAAAGGAAAAATGAAAAGCAGACATAAAAAGCATGTATCAAAAATGATCACTCGTACCCAAACCGATCGGAATAAGCCAATCGACCCAGAAAATGGAGCAGCGCCGCGGCTATGGTAACCACCTGATTCCAATGCTTGAAGTTACAATGGATGGCCCTCCATCATGGCCTCCACGCATGCATTGCAAAGCAATTTGCATCGCTCTTGAGGGAGGGGAGAGGCCAGTCAAGAAAGCTCTGCTCCAACCTGGAGCTCCCATGGGATCAAAAGGTTTTAGCCTCATGCTTACACCACCACCTTCTACAGTATCCTAGCTGCCCTACGAGGACAGGCACCGTCATCATAATCGCCAAAAGGCTTCAAGTTACCTGTGCATGGTACGCGCGGTGAAAAGATGCGCAATGTACGGGGACACAAAGACACGCTTCACGTATATCGGCAGAGTACAGTGTACACGGATCGACCACCGAGACGACGCTGCAATGCAGGTTACATGTTGTATAGCTCACTGTAGGCTGTAGTGCAGCAGTCTCTGTCATGGCTGTCCGTAGTTGTCGCCCTGGATGCCACCAGGTTTTCACCGCCAAGCGACTTACGCAGGGCAGGTACTGTCAACTTGGCACGTCGTTTCTGGCTCATCCGCATGGTGACGAAGTTCATCTTACTTCAACATACATGTATTGAATGTCGTTGTGGACATTTTCGGTGTCTGAGAGAAGGACGGCGACAAGAAGATGTGGACGTGCGCTGCTTTAAGTAGAGTGCATTGAAGCTGGGACTCTGGCCGGTGTGAGGTGGTGTTGATCGTGCAGCGTAGGAATGATGAAGGTCGGACGAAAAGAAATACAGGTGGCCAACACCAACGCCCTGACGAGTGATCTACAAATACTGTACCATCAGCATTGAATGCAGGATGCTCAGTGCGTTGTCATTGACAACTTGTCGATTGAGAACATTTTGTAGAATTCACGCAAGTTCCGAAGCAACCCGGATCAACCAAGGTTATTTTTATAGGCTTTCCTGAATCAATCGTCCGAATCTCGCCAAATTGGCGGCCATTATGTCATAAGATTTCAGTGCAGCTGGGGCATGCCCTCAGTGAGGGCTCCCGATTATGGCATTGTTATTTATCGGGAGCTTCGACGTCGGATAAATGATGACATCGTGTAGCTAGTAGTGCTTCATAAATTATGTCATAACTAAGTAGCAACAAATAAATAAGATCATTATGAACTGAAGAGCAAAGCAACAGCAGGTTAACAATTAACGTGTAGCCTCATCTACCGTCTGCGCTG